CAGCACGCTGACTTCAATACTACAGAACCAGCCGAAGGGAGGCGCCTGGGGGGGCGGCTTACCTCCTTCAAAGCACAACTCAATACGCTGCACTGTGGGAAACTAGTCCCAACAGATGCGTGTTACAGCTTTTATTTTAAATTTCATCTATGACTTCAGGAAAGCACATCTGTCAGCTATTAAGAAGCTAGTAACAGTCAGTTTAGTAACTAAGTCTAACAACTATTCTGCAACCTCCCAAGGCTGGCATTACGTGTTTATTCACATAAGCACAAGTTAATATTTTGATATCCTTCATAAGGGCAGTTTTCCTGAATTCCTAACTTTCCGGTGGTTCTGTTCATCACCATATTTAACTGTGGCTAAATGTTGATCCTTCACTGAGAGAATTTTTTCTTAGGCAGTACTAGTAAGAATATACATACACAAAAGAATTTTTACTGATCAAGACTCACAAAGGCAAAACAAGTCAAAAGGGGAAAAAAAAACTTGCGTAAGAAACAGATTTTGAATGATACCAGTCTAACATTTTATTTATTGCATACAAAAGGATTTCTTTTGACAATGGAATTTTAATATGAAAGGTAATTTGATGCATACTGTTGAGAATCTTATCTTCAAAGTCAAAGATGCTGCAGAAAACTTAAGGCAATGCATCTAAGCATATAAAGCACAGTAAGTGGTGGAGATCTTCAAAATCAAAAGCCTATTCTTTTTCCTTCCCTTAAATTATGGTTAAGTCACAACTTTCTGGAACAGTAGTAGGCTGCAGCTTTATTAGCCCCTGCAATAGCATGTAAGATCAGAACACTGTGATTCCTGGCAAATACCTAAGTGTTCAACATCACATTACAATGTTATGCGTACATTTAAAAGCAAGACAATATCAGTAGCAGTTATAAACCAAGTCAATTCATGGACCACTAAAATACCTCTAGTACCAAGCACCCAAATGAGGTGCATAAAAGATATCCTAAAAAAAAAATAAAAAATAATCCCCCAAACCTGTGCTTCTTTGTCCTGTAAGGAAGCCAAAATAGATTCTATCACATACCCAGGGTCTCAATTATTTCAGACGCCCCGTTTTCTTTTTGTCCCCTGTCTCCCAAGTACCTTCCTGGAAACTTTTAAAAGTGAGTATCATCAGACTTCAAGCATCGGTGGTCAACTAACTTCCCTCCTTTTCAACAGTCACTGAAGAAGGAAGTGTCTGTCAGTCCTTCCGGTTACTTTTATTCATTTTTACCAATGCAGCTTCAAATTCATACTCACTTTCAGTTTCCTACAGCCATAATATTCAAGAAGGTTTAGCATAAAAACACGTCAAGTTTTGAAGTGAATCACGTGTTGCCTCTCTCCCATATCCCCCACTGTAAAAGCACGAAGTGGTTTTAAGTTCAGTTTTAGCAATGCAATTAAGCTTGAAAATGTCCATTTATCACACATGCTGGAATAAAATTTCTCTCCACTTAAAGCCTCAGTGCCAGAGGTGTTAAATTGGTTGCCAGCAATAGACACTGCACTGGCAAATGCTACTCCTAACAGATTAAAAAAAAATATATATATATAAAAGGGAAGCAGCTTTAACCAGACAAACCAGGCATCAAATTAGATACGGTAATATTTATAAATGAATCACTTTTTTTAGTGTAAACATAACAGTTCATCTTCTAGGTTTACTGTAAACCATTTTACACTTAATCAGATTATGAAAGACAAAGACAAGAGAAACTGAAGGTATTTATTATTCAATCCACTTACAAAGCAGGTGGCTTAATGCAAGCTTGACATGTTCATATATGATCCCCGAGGACATCTTTTCCAAAGTGACAGTAATACCTGTCTCAATGTTTTTGCACATTTGCATTTTGCAATGTTGAGCACATTTAAATAAACTATAATCTATTGGATGTGAAAGAATGATGAGCAACTTGATTCCTGAAGTGGATTAAAACCTCCTCCAAAGGCGAAATGTTAGTACATTATAACTTAATTCTATATACTATATTATGCAGCAAATCTTAACTATAGAAAATAGTTCAATCAGTGATGGACTGTTGGAAATTTATAAAGAGGGAATCTATGATCAAGGCAAAAACTAGGTAACCACATAATTTGTGTCTCAGTTTCTACAGAAATTTACAGGCTTTCCATTTACTAATGAAAATTAAAACAAGAGACAAGTGGATTTAGCTAACTTTATTAACTTTAAAACTAATAAAAATCCCAAGACAAGCCTGGAACCCTTAGAAGTTCTATGAATGCATGTATATCTGCAAAAAAAAAAAAAAAAAACCAAAAAAACCCCCCACCCCAACAAACCCCCCCAAAACAAAAAAACAACCCCCAAACCCACAAAAAGACCCCCACCAACCAATACCCTCCCCCCAAAAAACAACCCCAACAAAAACCCTGCAGCTCTAAGTCCTTATTTAATGGTTTTATATTTAAAAAAAACAAACACCAAACACAAACAAAAAAAACCCCTCAGTGTGCGCAGATACTTCAACTTAAGTTAGCAGAAGACCAAACAGATTCTAAGCTCTTTTTCCATTTCCCTAATAATTCTTTCAATCTGCAAGTATCTACAATCCAGCTAACTGAAATCAACATTTAGTGTTCACTAGAGCTGTTTCACAGCAGCAAATATTTAAGTTAGGGATTCAAATTTCTAGACATAGGAAGGAAATGATAAATACAATCTGAACAGCAGTCTAAATGTTTAATATTGACATTCAAATATATCTGCATTGTGCTGAAATTTTAAAAATGAACACAAAAATCTGATCAGACAAAAACTCTGGTGATGAGTATGCTATATGTATCAGTCAAACTGAATAGTTCGTATTCTGTTCCCAGTATTAAGGATGTTATTTGATTCAGAACTGATATTGTAAATATACAGCAGCCATTTTTTCCTAATTAAGGAATGTCTCAATACATAATATTATCCTTTTCTAGATGATCTTTATACATTTAAACTAAAATATATGATCGATTAAATTAAGGAATCCGAGGTTAGTAATGAGTGAAATCATACTTTCAAAGCTCGATACTATGTAAAACAAACCAAAAAAAGAGACCACACAATTCTACTTACTAAAGCAGCTAATCTTGCCTGCAAGTTTGGGGTCACAAAGCCCATAATATGTGCAAACAAATGCAATACAAGGAACCATGCAAAAATACAGTAATGAATTAAAAGAAAAAAATGTAAAACCTAAAAAAAGTTTTATAAATACACTGAAACTCAACTGTCTTCTACATAAACTGTAGGTCTAGCATTAGTTGTACCATATAGCAGAGCCAGCACTCTAGGTTCAATGCTTCCAAATCTGCGCAGGTAAGTCATGCCATCTTTGGTTGACTGCAGTACCAGGAAGGATGAGAGGGAGTGAGAGGGAGGACAAGAGTTCTGGAAAGCGGTGTCAACTTTCACTAGGCAGTTGAGCCTCAATGTCCACTCTGCAAATGGGGCACTTCTTGTTAGTAATCAACCACTGATCTACACATACTTGATGGAAAAGGTGCATACATGGAAGGCGCCTGCCATCAGAACAGAAAAACACTGGCGTTAATAAAGCATTTCCATATGAACATACCCACCGGAAAAACGGTAATGTGGGTTTTGCTACTGAGGTGTCTACTCTTTTTGCATGTGTATGTTCTTCCACAAGTTTCACTGGCCTTTCCAGCCAAACCTGCATTTTGTGTAGTTCCAAGAAGAAATGGATATCGGCAATGAAGTCAAGCATCAGCTAGCTTCTGCTGTATTACACTGATTTAAACCTGTTATGGCTTAAAGCAGCATTACTCCAGAAAAGCTAAAATTGGCAGTCCTGATTAATTCAGGGTATCAGCTTGGGCTCCCCTTGCAAGACAGACAGCCAACTTATGGAAGACCTACATTCCACTCAAAGACAATACATACTGATCAATGTGTTTTCAGTTGCAACTTGTTTTGGTTTTTGATTCAATGAGAGGTAGTCTTTAATTCCTACTGTTAACCTAGGGAGTACTGCAAAGAGCAGTATACCATATTCAAGTATGGTCTCAAAGGCAGAACATTAACATTATATTCTGATATTCAGGGGTACTATTTACCTGACATCTTCACCTTCCTCCAATATAGACAAACAGATGGTACACTTTTCCTCTGTATCTTCTTCTGTTCCTTCCTCCCCATCTTGTTTGCAGTGCAGTTTCCTCTGTGAGAACCAATCAGTTGTTACCTTATTAGTAGAGATGACATTATTGACAAACTGAGTAAAATCTGTTTTTAATACATATTCAACACATACTATTTTGAAAACATTTCATAATATTTATTCAAATGTATATGAACTAAAATGAATCAAGAACTAGCACTTGGAGCAAAATCACAGGATGTTTCATATTTATTTAACCATTGTTAATTACAGAAGTCCACTGGACTGTGAATATATTCATTTTGTATTGTTGTAACTGGTCCTTTTACTTGTTGTTGTCTATGTATAAATACCTTAATTTCATTCACAAGGAGGCAAAAAAAATCCTTTCAAACCTAGTATCTTAAGTCACTACTTATCAAATGTGAAAGAACACTATGTACATGTGGATGGGATTCTATATTATGGTATAATAAACTCCAACTAAGAGACAACTTAAGTTGCCAAAATTCTATACCAGATTCAAAACTTCCAAGTGTCCCAGTCTTCATAATGTGATCAGAAAATAAAGGTTAAAATGATATATACCAAACAGGTAAGCATCATGAACAAGTTATTGCAAAAATAAAGTCTTAGTTTATTTGATGAGTTACCACTGAAGGCTGTTGACAATTTAGCTATTATCAATAGTTATTTCATTGCTTACAAGGCTATTCATAACTGCTGGACAAGTTATTAAATCATTAAACCACTTATTTTTAATAACATTAAAGTAGCTCTTTATCTAGGGACCAAATTTTTATTTTTCTTTGTGAAAGAAGTGGCATTATAAGCTTCGCTTACAATCCTTGAAATTGCAAGATACAGAAAACACACACTTTTTGAAACTGACATTTCTGCAAATTTAAGCTAAACATAAACATTACTACATTTTCAAAGAAATATTACAGAGAGGCCACAATTTGAGAAATCCTCACCTTTTTGTATTTATGTGGATATGTGCATCTTTCTATAGTTCCCTGTGTTGCCCCACGGTTCACATTGCCTAATCGTTCCTCCAAGTGAATCAGCTCCTAAAAATTATCAAGGAATAAACAGTGTAAAAACTGCTACTTCAACTGCCTTGACTAAATATTAATTTTATTCCAACCCATTTGCAGAATGACAAACTCTCAATTCCCAACTTATTCAAGTACAGGAAAAAAAGAAAAAAAGAAAAGAAAAAAAGAGAAAAAAAAAGAAAAAAAAAAAGAGTATGTTGTGTGGGGAAAGTGATGTAGAAAAACCTACACAACACTACCTGGTATTTTATGTCATAGGGAAACACTATTTTACTACTGAAAAAATTAGAAATTGTTTGTCAACTAGGAATGGTTATCGGTATGTTCACACATACTTGCATGTCTACTGAGGAAAATGCAATTAAAATGCACTATGTAAATATTTGCTTTCCAACAGTCATCAAGGCTTAGAAGAAAAAAAAAAAAGTTGCTTAAGTTGAAATACAACTGATTTATTTTTCTCCAGCAATGAGTTTATTAGAACTGTGAGATGTCACTGAAGATGTTTTCGGTGGACTAGGTCATTAACTCTCTGCATCTGATACCTTTTATTTTCTCCTTTTTTTTTTTTCTTCCCTCAGTTTCAATTCCTGCACTACATAACAAACAGGACAGCACTGTTAAAGTTGCCAAGTTTCACCCTCACTAGGAGGATCCTGGCACAGTTATTCAGAGACACCACTACCTTTAACCAACATATGTGAATACTACATGCTACTAACTGGGGTGGTGGGCAGAGCAAGATGTACAGTCAGTTAATAACCACCTAAGCCTACATTGTCCAGGGCACCTTTTATTGACTGACATTTCAATATGCTTTTATCCCAGTTCATGACAGTGAGGTCATTCTACAAACTTTCTTTAGGATTCTTTTACATCTATGTATAGAACTACCTCTACCATACACCCTCCCCATATGCCCTCATGACACATTTTGACATATATCTAGTTTATTCTATTACAAACCTCAAAATTGCCCCTGAAAGGGCCTCTGAATGATGTTCCATCCAATCCCGATGAAATGTAACGGATGTGAGGGTAGCCCGCCATGTCTGGTACCTATTCAAACAGCAGACGTTAAGTTAAACCTATTCAGAACAGTTTCAGTATCTTACTGTTCACTTTGTAAAAATTTAAGATCCTTTTGCTTTTATTGAACCACTTATAATAATTTATACTCCTCAGCTTGAGCATACAATTCCAACTGATGGCATAACACACCACCACTCCGAGCTCTCCAAACATAACCAGAAGCAAAAGAGAAGCGAGGCTAGACCCTCTATTATCATCTCTCCACAGCTGCATTATGTATTGCTTGGTCTCACTTCCCAAGTCTCAAAATCTCAACCTACTTTGTATAAAATGCCATAAACATCTACCTATTTTTGTTAACAAAACACCTAACAGCTGCACATGAAGTTACAAAAAGGACTTGCTACAGATTCTGAAACGCAAGTTTTTGGTACTACAGAAGAAACAAGGCTAATACTCAGTCTAGAAAAAACAGCCAATATCCTTATCATACCCAAAACAACTGAACATCTTCAGACACACTTGAAATTTAGAAGCAGATAGAAAAGGTAACACTCAAAACTCACATCTGAAGTCACAGGCAACTCTATGTATATACGCTCTATATTCAAGCATCCACTACTTCCTTGCACATCAAGAGATACAAGCAGTGAACAAAATACCAGTGTCCAGTGATATACCCTACAGGCACTTTAAGCACCAGTGCTTTTCATACAGGAAAGCAGAAAGGTAACTAATATACCAAGAACCACCTTCATAGCAGGGTTTCTGCATTCCATTTTTACTCCTACAAGATGAATGAATAATGGTCTTGACTTTTTGTCAGAAATGTACCAGCACCAATTTTTAATGAACAGGTGAAAAAAACCCACAAGTGATCAGCAGATTCAGTTTACTTAATCATGTAGAGTGCACTGATATGAGGACTGTAAGCAGAAGCTCATTTGGAAATAACATTGAATACCTGAGAAGTACTATCTTCCTTTCTGTGCTCTCAGCTGGTAATGTTTCCACTGCTATATATGACAGCTCAAAATTCATCTCGTAAGGCTGTCAACAAACTGAATTAATGCCTTGCGAGAAAGCACAGGCCTAGACAAAGATACTCACTTAAGAGACCAATAAGCTACCTTTATGTATTTTTCAAATCCAGTCTGGTAACTAAAAGCTGACAGGGATAGCAAAGACTTCTCTGCCCTAAATAATTCTTCTCAGAAAAGAAAAACAGAATCTGATTTTTTTTAAAGCAGTTTACATGGGGCTTGTTAAATGATGACCATGCAGTACAAATATAAGCCACAAATACAGCCACAATATTAGTAATAGATTTTTACAAACCAGAGTATTAGAAACTGAAGATTTAACTTTCAGAATATTTCCCTCTCACACAAGAAGCCTAAGTATCTGTTGGTCTGGTACTAATTAGAGCTGGAGATGGAAAACAAGCAAGACAGGATGACTGCTGCAAACTCCAAGTGTATCAATTTAAAGATCTAAGTTGTTACGCAATATGCAGACTGCATTTACAGAGATTATATACTAATACATGAATTCAATGTGATATGCAAAAAATCACAAGACATGTATATTCATCTGCATACCTAAACATTTCATGTAAGTAACATCTGTTGGTGTCACAGGTCTTATTGTTTTGACAATATTAACTGTGGCTGTAACAAAGGCGTTTGGGAGAGCACATTAAAAATACAGTAATTTGTAAAAACTATGTTGTAAGAAATCTGTGTCAGTGACATGCACCTGGACAAGTCTCCCATTTGGACCAAATTCTGCTATTGGAGACTATCTACTTAAGAAACCTACTAAATTTAACACTACAAAATGAACCAAGAATTTCTCAGAGTACATACCACAACAAACTACTAAATTTAGACAACTGAAACACTGGGTGGGACAATACATTTTCATGCTAATAGGCCTTCACATTATCCTGACAGTGCATAGCATAGCACACTGCAAAATTATCTGAACATACGTTATATACAGGCTCTTCTATAAAATATCACGAGAGCACACCTTACATTTCTGGCCAAGTAAAATGCTGTATTTTGAAAAGCCATCGCTAAGAAAAAACCCAACTCTTTTAGGCCTGCAGAATAAGCAGTCTGCTAACATAGCAAGATTTTAACTAATCACATTTGTAACTACAAGCTGGAAGATGGGCAAGACAGAACTATCAATAATGTTGCTGTGGTTTAACCCCAGCCAGCAATTAAGCCCCACCCAGCTGCTCGCTCACTCCCCACAGGAGGACGGGGGAGAGAATCAGAAGAGTAGAAGTGAGAGAACTCACGGGTTGAGGTAAGAACAGTTTAATAATTGAAATAAAATAGTAGTAACAACAATAATAATAAAGAATACACAAAGCAAGTGATATACAATGCAATTGCTCAACAGCTGCCAACCGGTGCCAGCCAGTCCCTGAGCAGCAGCCCCCCTGCCAGCTTTCCCCTAGTTTATACACTGAGCATGACATCATATGGTCTGGAATATCCCACTGGCCAGCTGGGGACAGCTGTCCTGGCTGTGCCCCCTCCCAGCTTCTTGTGCATCTCCAGCCTTTTCAGTCAATACACCATGAGAAGCTGAAACATCCTTGATTTAGCATAAGCAACAACTAAAACATCAGTGTGTTATCAACATTATTTCCATCCTAAACGCAAAACACAGCACTATACCAGCTACAAGGAAGAAAATTAACTCTATCCCAGCCAAAACCAGGACAGTATTCACCCCTTATTCTATACCATCTACATCATGCCCAGGTTCCACACCTTCCAATACATTCCAATTAATCACCACCACTTTTCCTGCCTTTTGATACATATACACAGATATCATTCCCTTAGTCTATGGGCCATCCCTGTAAAATGTCTGTTGTGTTCATTTAGTCTATGACTCTGGGCTCCAACTGTCCTAAGAGTCCTTCAGGGCAGGAGAGATGGGGTGTGGTGTTGGATTGTTGCATGCTGAAGCCAGTTCTGGTTCCATTATCACTGCACTTTGCTCAGTTTTCATCAAAGCTCATTCTTTATTTATCTGGGTGACTCTTACTGTTATACCATTGATATGGCATATAGCCACTACAGAAGTGATAATACACAATGTTATATAGTAATTAACATCATACAATTTAATTTATTGGCTATTCTCACCCAAAATCAAATCCCCTTGAGGTACACATCAGAGTTCCTGATCCTTCCACATCACCTACCAAGATGCACCCAGATCCTCGAACAAAAGCAATCCCACAAATGGGTTTGCCTTTGCCTGAGGCAGGAATAATCCAGATTGTCTTCTGCAGCTGTTTTTGGTGTTTTGGTTTTTTTGTTTGTTTGGTGTTTTTTTGCTTGTTTGGCTTTTATGTGCACTACAAAGATTTTCCCCTCCTACAGCACATAGAAGTTTTGACTGGGCAGGGCCAGCCCAACTCACAGATCCCCTGGTGTTGACTAATCAGGTGGCTTTTGCTAACATGTATTCTAATGTTTGAATGTCCCACCACCCATTGCTCAGTGTTGTCTTTAATAATCCACTGTATCATTCAAATTTCCTGGAGGAAATGATAGGCAATGCGATATACCCACTCAGTGCCATGCTCTGGCCCATTTGTCTATGAGGTTGTTTCGGAAATGAGTCCCACTGTCTGTCACCAGAAGACTTTCTTTTCAAGGCTCAGGATAGTGTTCCAGGTGGTGGCATGGTGCACAGGGTATGTTTCCAGCCATCTGGTGGTTGCTTCCACCTCAGTGAGCACATGGCACTTGCCTTGGTGGATTTGTAGAAGTGTGATACAATCAATCTGCCAGGCCTCCCGTTAGGTATATTTCAACCGTAATCCTCCATACCAGAGAGACTTTAACCGCTTGGCTTGTTTGATCACAGCGCATATTTCATATTCACAGATAACCTATGCAATAGCGTCCATGGTAAAGTCCACCTCTCGATCACAAGCCCACCCACACGTTGCATCTCTTCTTTGATGGCCTGAGGTGTCATGGCCCCACCAAGCTAGAAATAATTCACATTATGTTGCCAGTCCAGATCCACCTGAGCCACTTCAATCTTAGCAGCCTGATCCACCAGCTGGTTGTTTTGGTGTTCTTCAGTGTCCTGATTGGGTATGCAAGCATCTACGTGATGTACTTTTACAACCATGTTCTCTACCCAGGCAGCATATCTTGCCACAACACAGCAGATGGGGTTGCCTCTGTGCTGCCAGTTGCTCTGCTTCCATTGCTGTAACCACCCCCACAGGGCATTTGCCACCATCCATGAGACAGTATTGCGATAGAGCACTGGCCACTTTTCTCATTCAGCAATGATTGCGGGTGTTCCAGAGCTTCACCCTGTTCCAGTGCTGTCTGGATCAGTCCACGGCAAATGGTAGGGCTGTGTTTCCATCCCTGGGGCAGTTGATTCCAGGTGTTCTGGATGCCCCTCCAAGTGAAAGCAAACTGTGGACTGCAACTCTGCTGCCAAATGGACTAAGAAAAACACATTAGCAATATCAATTGTGACATACCACTTAGCTGCCTTTGACTCCAGTTCGTATTGAAATTCTAGCATGTCTGTCACAGCAGCGTGACTTCATTCAGGCCACAGCAGTCTGTTAGTCTCCGCTCTCCATTACTTTCACACTGGCTGTATGGGACTGTTAAAGGGTAGGCAAGTCTTGCTGACTGCTCCTTGGCTCTCCAGTCAACAAATCAGCTTATGGATGGGAATCAGGGAGTCTTGGTTGGTGCAATATTGCTGCCAGTGCACTGTTGTGGTAGTGATTGGCACCTGTCATTCTTTGATCCTCAGCAACACCACAACAGAAGGGTCCTCTGAGAGACTGGGCTGCTTGATTTCCTCCATCTCCCAGGCAGCTATAATAAAAGCCCACCTTGGGACCTTGAAATACCTTCTTCTGAGGTAGTCTATGCCAAGGATGCATGGAGCCTCTAGGCCAGTCACAATGGGGTGTTTTTGGGGAACTGCCCATTGGAAACTGGAGCAGCAAT